TGACCAGGAGACACACAGCCCGGGTTTGAATCCTGACTCTGTTCCTGACTAGCTTGATCTCTAACCAATTACTTAGTCTTTGCAGGCTTCAGCGTCTGAATGTGCAAATTAGCACTATTGGTGCGGATCTCTGAAATCGGGGTGAGGGTTGAATGAGACAATGTATGTAAAATGCCATGTTCATTCATTTTCTCAATGAGCACTATGACTCTCATTGAAAAAAAATGATTACTTGACAAAAGGGTTGCACCCACTCTGGGCTTAGTTTTTACAAGGCTACAGATGACATACGACTAACAGGCATTTTGGATTCTGCCAATGAAATGTCCCAGGAGCCCGAGAGTGACTTGCAACACCAAGTTTAGACTCCCACTGACTTGTGTTGGCCTCTCAAGGTTAGCAGAGCAAGTGGCATCGTGAACACCAACCGAAAAGGGGGATGCCCGAATGGGAAGCTGGCCAACAGCACCCCGTCTAACAAGGCCAGCTCTGGATTCCTGACCAGCAGAACCTCTAGGTTCTAAATGCCACTTCTCTGAGTGCTCTCCTGAGCTTCCAAACTGCTCCCAGCCCAGACCGAACACAGCCAGCGCCTTCTAGGTACCACCATGCTCCTGATCAAACAGGAGGTGTTCATGGATGACAGTGTGGCCAGATGGCACCGACCCGGGGGCCTGGAGGAGAAGTGGTGGTGGGGTGGGGGACAGCTACCCAGTCAATCTCAGGATACCCCCAACAAAGATGCTGAGACATACATGTGTGACCATCCCTGACGCACACATGAAGACTAGCAGCAAAACTCCGTTATTTCGGTGTCACTGCCAAGATAAGAAGCTTTAACTCGGGGCACCTGGGTGGCTCAGTCAGTTAGGCATTTAGATGCCTTTGGCTCAGGTCATGATCTCAGGGTCCTGGAATCTGCGGGGAGCCTGCTTCTCCCTCTGCCTGCTGCTCCCCCTGCCTGTGCTCTCTAAAAAAAATTAATAAAATCTTAAAAAATAAAATGGGACAGGTATTAATTAAAAAAAAAAGAAGCTTTAACTCATACAGAGAGAAGCAAAGAACACACGACGTGCCATGGTATAAGGCAAGATGCTAAGAGCTGGCAATGCACGTTCATTCAACTTAAGAAACTGATTATCCTCATTCTCGGGGTGGGGGCGCAGTAAAGAAGGTCAAAGGAATCTGCAGGACACACACACTCACACCTGGGCCTTTGTTAGCCAGCTGATGGCTCCCGTATCTCCTGGGCACCTAGGCCAGTGAAACGGGGAACCTGATGGGAATGAAGTCAACACTGCTAGCCTGTTGGCCTCCAAAAGCCTTCCTAGGACAAGGAGGGCCCACTCACTGCTGCTCCTAGCAACCTGCTCTTTCTCCTAGCATGGCCCCTCAAGGAGGAGTTCTCATGCAGTGACTTTCCACTGTTCAGAATTGATGAGTAATATCCAAATTCCTCACTGGGGCCACAGATCCAGCTCCTGTCAACTCCTTGGTCACCATGCGCCAGCCCCACTGGGCTCATAGCTCCTGCTGTCCTCTGTGTGCACCAGCTGGGTCCTCGTTCAAAGTCACCTCCTGAGAGCGAGCTAGAGTTCTATCCTGACCCCTATCCCAGTCATCTCCATCTTAGTGCCCCATTTCATTCTCCCCATATCTCTTTTCACCATCCTGCATTGTTTTGTTTTATCTATCTACTGTTTGTCTCTCTCACCAGAAGATAATCTTCATCAGACCACGGATCCTGGTGAGATCTTGTCCTTGGCTATATCCCCAGCACCTACCACAGGGCCTGGCATAAAGTAGGTGTTCAATACATCATTCCATTTCACAAATATTTACTGAGTGCCTACAAAGTTTAGACACTGGACTACAACAGCAGACCAAAAAAAAAAAAAAAAAAGAAAGAAATCTCTGCCCTCGAAGAGCTTCAGTGGCAAATAAGAAACAGATAAGTAACAGTGAAATGATAACTACTACTTCCACCAACCACATACTAAGTGTTTGGTGCTGTTCTAAGCATCTGATAGGTATTACCTAATTTAATCCTCCAACAACTTCCTGAAGGATTAGTATTTTCCAGATGGGGAAACCGAGGCATGGAGAGGTTAAGTTACTTGCTGAAGGTCATGCAGCTGTAAGGGCAGAAACTAAGGTAGTCTTGGTACAAAGTGCATGCTCTGATCTTTGCTGAGTGCTGAATAAGGACTTGGTCAGCACCCCCGCAGCTGTTCTCTGTAGGCAGGGCTGGAAAGAGAGCGAATCTATCAAGGGAGGGCTGCCCTGCTCTTTGAACCCAGTGAGGTGGGGATGGCTGCCTTTACCAGGGTATTGCACCCTGGATGAGGAGGGATCTGCAGGAAGTGTGTTTTGATGATAAGACAGGGACAGGGCCAGGATTCCTGGCTTCTAGTTTTAGGTGCTGAGACACCCAGGCAAGTCAACTAATATCTGACGAGTTTATTTTTTGTGCAGGACACTGCTCTTGACGTTGGGAGCTATGCAAACCTGAGTCCACCAGAGATCCTAGCCTCAGAAAGCTGAGAGTCAGGCAGGTACACTTGGAGCTGAAACAGAAGTAGAAATTGGCAGGTGCCATTAAAAAATGTACAGACTCTATGGGATTTCAGGAGTTACATAGCCTCTAGGGGCCACAGATCCTCAGCCAGAAAAGAGGGGGCTGGCCTACACAACCCCCAAGGTCCTCTGCCTTTGACATGTTCTGACAGCACACTTTTGGAGCAGCACAGAGATCAAGTTTTATTCTGGTTAATAGTTCAAGTGCATGGCCACTGACTGGTCATCTCATCTACCATGAGAACAGTCCCAATTTCTTTGGGCAACATCTTACAGCATCGTCAGGGCGATAAAAATTCTCATTTAAATAATGCAGCCAAATATGGGGTCGAAGCCCACTGTGTTCTGTGCTCCTCCACCTCTAACTGGTTTTTAACCCTCTTCCATCAAGGAGGAGGTGACCCTTCCGTGAACGCACTGTTGTAACGTGGCGCCCACTCCCATTCACCTTGCTCTTGTCTGTATCCCCTAGAGTTCAGCACAGCGCCTGCCTGGCTCACAACAGGGGCTGAGCAAGGTGAGCTGAGCTAAACCTGCCTATGATCTGGAAATTAGCTGCTATACATATAAATCTGAGTCGGTGTTTCCTGACGTTTTGCTTTCCAGCTCTCAGCCTCTCCTGGGGGGAGAAGAGAGGGGCTAGCTCTTCACTTTTACCCTTTTACCACCACCAGCTTGGTCCCCGGAGCTGCCTCCGCCTCTTGCCTGGAAGCTGCAGTCGTCTACCTCCCCACTGCTAGCCCTGCTTCTACCTTTGCGCCTTACAATCCAGTCTCTATACGGCAGCCAGAACCATCTTTGAAAACTTAGATCTTATCACCTCTCTGCTTAAAATCCTCTAACAGCTTCTAACTGCCCTTGGAATAAGATCCAAACTGGTTCTTCATAGCACTTAATGCCCCTGGAATTATGTTGTCTGCTTATTTGTTTACTCCCTCCTCTTTAGAGTGTCGGCTTCGTTTCCACCACCTGGAGCCTGCGTGCTGGACGTGGAGCCTGTCCTATAGAGAGCGCTCACCACTGCATGGATGAGTCTCCATCTCACAGAGGTAACTTGCGTTTTACAAGGTTCCTCACTAACTCCACCAGAAAACCACAAATGACACCCTGAAGTTCAACAGCCAGCACCTTTTTTATGATTCAAAGTCCTGCTTTAAATCAGGACTTTGGACACTTTCATGGCCCAAAAGATGAGTATCACTTAGGGTCTAAAGCCCGGAACAAGAGCCCAGTAGTTCCAGCACAGAGCTAAGATCCAAAGCACTTGAAAACAAAACTGCAGGACAAACTCTGACTTGCCTCCAGGTCCCATGCAGACATAATCTGTGCCTCGATTTACCCAAAACCAGGAACAAGAGCCCAGTATTTGCAGCAGGGAGCTAAGATCCAAGACACTTGGGAACAAAACTTTAGGACAAACTCTGACTTGCCTCCAGGTCCCACACCGACACACCCTGTGCCTCAATTTACCCAGCAGCCGGCCAGGCACACTTCCCTAAGTTCTTTGAGTGACAGGAGACAAAATAATTAACAGCTACAGCATACTTAGATTCTCAGATAGGAGGTGCTGCAAGCCACACATCTCATTATTCATAAAACTCTTGATTTGCTGCCAACGCAAGCCTCCTCCTCGGCCTTCCCAGGGGCTAACCTGACAGCAGGTACTGCTCAGACAAGTTCAGTGCATGAGAGAGGAAGGCATGCGGGGCCTAACAGAGGGTGGGTGTCCAGACCTATCTAGGTACCTGGGTTACCACGTTCAAGGATAAGGAAGGTGGTTGGGTGGGGGTGACGAGAAGGAGGTGACAAGTGCAGTTTGGGGCTCCCGGTGGTTCATTTGGATCCACACCCGCCATACAGGTGGCCCATGTGCCTGCAGTGTGCGCCTCCCAGGAGCAGTCACCGGGAGCGGTGGAATGGGGAAGCGACAGTTCAATCACACGAGAGGGAGGAAGGGCGGCCCCTGGGCCAGACCTTGGCAGCATTGACTTTGGGGACATACGGAGGGGCTCTGTACGGAAAGAAGGTCGGGATGCTGAGCGTGGGGAGCAGGTGAGGGGAGAGTCGGGAGGGCACGGGACCTGGAGTGCTGACAGACGGTGACAACCGCGCCGACGCGGCGGCGAACAACGGGTTGGGTGGCTCGGACACCTGTGGAGGCGACCCCTGGGCGAAGGTAAGGAAGGCTGGAGGGTGGTCTGTGGCGGCGTCTGCGGCGGCGAGCGGCGGGAGGCGGGAGGCGGCGGTCACCAGGCGGGGCGAGGAGGCCGGGCCCAGACCAGGGCGCCGCGCCGGGGGCCAGCCAGTGGGTCCGAGAGGGTTCGGGGGCGCCCTCCTCGGCCCCTCCCCGGGAGACAAAGGGCCGGCGGCTCCCCAGAGCCCCCGCGCGGCGCTGTGGGCGCGGGGACGGCCTCGGCGCTTACCTGGGCCGCCCGACCCGGCCGGCGGGGGCTGCGGGTCCCTGCACCGCGCGCGGCGGCCTGTTCCGGGGAGCGCTCAGCCCGAGCAGCCGCGGCGGCGGCGGCGGCAGCAGTAGCAGAGGCGGCGGGGGCGACGGCGGCGACGGCGGCGGCGGCGGCGGCAGCAGCAGCAGCAGCAACAGCAGCAGCGGGAGCGGCCGCCTGAGCCTCCGCCTCCCGCTCCGTGAGTCACCGCGGCGGGGTGGGAGGGAGGCGCCAGGCCGCCGGGGGAGGGACCGGCGGAGGGGGCGGCATCTGGCTCCGCGCGGGCGGCGGAGGCGCGGCCACCGCAACGCCAGGGGTGGGGTGGGGGGGCGGGGGGGGGCGGGGGGGGGGGGGGGGGGAGGGCTGGGCGCCAGGGGAGGGACTTGATGGTGGGGCGGGGCTGCGGGGCCGTGGGGCACCCATTGGCTAATTCGGCCTATGGGGCGGGGCCTCCTGCATACGGGGAGGGTGCCGAGTGGAGCGCGGGGACGTTCATTGGGCTCCTCGGGAGAAGGTGGGGCCAGGGATCCCGGGGCGGGGCCACGAGATGGGCGGGTGGAGCAGGGTCGTGGATAGTGGCCGAGCGGTGCTGGGAGCAAAGGGGTGGAGCGGAGCGGGGGCGGGGCGGGGCGGGGCGGGTGGGCAGGGGAAGAGGGGCGGGGGCTCGGAGGAGGAGGCGGTCTGAGGGCGGAGCTCGGATTAAGGATGGTGCTGGCTCTGCGGTGAAGCGAGTCTGCCTGTCCCTTAGCGGCTCCAGGAGCCCAGAGATCCGGTAAAAATAATGGCCTCTCCCACACACGAGTCTGTGTTTAGAAATGGGAGCTGTCAGACAGGGCGGAATCCTCGGCGAGGCCGGTTTCTCCGGGACCCCTGAAAAATCTGAAACCGACGAGGTTGCAAAACAGTGAGAGGCGTGGTCTCCCTGCGCGGTGGAAGTGCAACACCGCTACCTTAGGGGCAGCTGGGCCGGATCTTGAATTGGAGGCCTGTCTGACCTGGGATCCACGGAGCCCAGAAAGCTCAGGGATGGGCCTGCGTGGGTCCGTTAAACTTAAACTATCATGAACCATGGTGGGGCGTATATTTTTCTGGGGAAAAGTGTCCACGATTAAAATGTTTCTGTATTTGCTAGATGGCTCTGTCTGGAGAGAGTACAGGGAGAAACAACCCTTTTGGGGCAGAATATGAATCGCTTTGAACACCCACTTTCCCTTTTAAGGGACACGTGTCTTTAAGAGTGGCCTCATCTTCAACATTTTAACAGTTACGTGGTGTTACACTAACCACACTTTAGAAGCCCTCTTGCCTTCCCAGCTTTCCCAGCCTTTCCTTTAGCCTCCTTTCCGTCCCATCCTCTTCCACTCTCCTCACATTTCTTCCCCATCCTTGTGCGAGAAGAATCTGATATTTTTTTTACTTTACTGTGTTTACATTTTTTAATGTCCATATTACTCTTTTTGAGTTAATAACTCTTTTAGTTACAGTTGAGGAACATTTTAATTTTATCAACATTAGGTAGACTTTAATTAAAATTAAAGTCATGAGATTATGAACTCAAAGGACAGAAATAGGTCTTAGTCATGTCCCTTTCCCCATTAGTATCCAGTCTACTATGCCCACAGCCAGGGCTCAACCCATATTTGCCCATACAGTGTACCAGCTGATCCTTCTAGTTTCCCAGAGCACACCAACACAAAAAACGTACACATTCAAATTATTTTTATGTAAATATTGATGTTTAAATAAATCCATTAAAACTGAACAAGTTGCTTGGTATTCAAGACGTAATGTATAAATGAATTTTTAAAAAAGATTTTATTTATTTATTTGACAGAGAAAGACACCACAAGAGAGGGAACACAAGTAGGGGTAAGTGGGAGAGGGAGAAGCAGGCTTCCCGAGCAGCAGGGAGCCCAATGGCGGCCCTCGATCCCAGGACCTTGGAATCATGACCTGAGCCAAAGGCAGGCGGTTAATGACTGAGTGACCCAGGCACCCCTAAATGCATTTTTTAAAAAATATTTTATTGGGGTGCCCGGGTGGCTCAGTGAGTTAAAGCCTCTGCCTTCGGCTCAGGTTGTGATCCCAGGGTCCTGGGATCAAGCCCCGCATCAGGCTCTCCGCTCGGCAGGGAGCCTGCTTCCTCCAATTTCTCTCTGCCTGTCTCTCTGCCTACTTGTGATCTGTCTGTCAAATAAATAAATAAAATCTTAAAAAAAATATTTTATTTGTTGTGGTGCCTGGATGGTTAAGCGTCTGTCTTCAGCTCAGGTCATGATCTCAGGGTCCTGGGATAGAGCCCTGAGTCAGGCTCCCTGCCCAGCTGGGAGTTTATCCCTCTCCTTCTGTCCCATCCCCTACCCCCTCACTTGTGCTCTCTCAAATAAATAAATAAAACCTTTAAAAAATAAAATAAAAAATAAAAGACATATGCTTGGGGCACCTGGGTGGCTCAGTTGGTTGGGTGTCTGCCTTGGGCTAAGGTCGTGGTCCCAAGGTCCTGGGCTCCCAGCTCAGTGGGGAGCTTGCTTCTACCTCTCCCCTGTGCTCTTGCTCTCCCTCTCTCTCTGTCTCTCTCAAACAAATAAATTAAAAAAAAAAAAAAGATATATGCTTAACAATAAAGGTGGGAAAGGAATGCATAAAATGAAAATGTGTCCATGTGAAATAATGGATGTTTTTCCTTTTTTCAAATTTTTCATAAATCTATTGTTTTAATAGTTCAAAGTTACAATAAGTCCATCACAGTCCGTCCCTTGGCTACCCTATCAGCTCAGGGCTGGATAATTCTTCCTTTCTAGGCAACATTATTACTTCAGGATTAACTTAGGCTCCACCCATCTGTAGAGTCTTAGAATGAAACACTGAAGGTTTAGGATCTAGGGAACATCTGCTAGTTCTGACAGCCTAGCACTGTCTCTTCCCCTTGGGAAACTGTTCCTCCCTCCCCTCGAGCCCCCAGAGGTCCTGATGATGTTATCAATTACAGTATTCTTTCCTCTCCTCTCCACAAAAACAAACAAACAGGGGAGACACGGGACCCAAGCTGGACCCGTCAAGTACTACATTCTATTTACTACTGGCTAAGAGACAGAATATGTCCCAAGTTGACCCAGTTGGAGTGCTTCCCTAAAACTTTCTTTTTTTTTCTTTTTTTAAAATATTTTATTTGTGGGGCGCCTGGGTGGCTCAATGGGTTAAGCCGCTGCCTTCGGCTCAGGTCATGATCTCAGGGTCCAGGGATCGAGTCCCGCATCGGGCTCTGCTCTGCAGGGAGCCTGCTTCTTCCTCTCTCTCTGCCTGCCTCTCTGCCTACTTGTGATCTCTGTCTGTCAAATAAATAAATAAATAAATAAATCTTTAAAAAAAAAAAAAAAGATTTTATTTGTTTATTTGAGAGAGAGAGAGAGCACTCGCATAAACCAGGGGAGGGGCAGAGGGAGAGAGAGGAGCAGACTCCCTGCTGAGCAGAGACCTTAATCTATCCCAGGACCCTGGGATCATAATCCGAGCCAAAGGCAGCAACTTAACTAAGCCAGCCAGGCACCCATTCCCTAAAACTTTCTGAATTGGAACTGAAGGGAAGCTCCCTTTCCTGTTAGATCAAGAGCTAGAAGGATATAACCTCGAAAATGTTAGTATCATCTTCCACACACGACATGGAAAATTCTGAAAGAATAAGGCAATGTTACAAGACAGAAAGGGACCAATATTTGGAAGGAGGGAAGGGGAATGGGTAGACAAGAAGAGAAACCTCTGGGCGCCTGGGTGGCTCAGTGGGTTAAGCCGCTGCCTTCGGCTCAGGTCATGATCTCAGGGTCCTGGGATCGAGTCCCGCATCGGGCTCTCTGCTCAGCAAGAAGCCTGCTTCCTCCTCTCTCTCTCTCTCTCTCTCTCTCTCTGCCTGCCTCTCCGTCTACTTGTGATCTCTCTCTGTCAAATAAATAAATAAAATCTTAAAAAAAAAAAAAGAAGAGAAACCTCTAACATCCACAGTTTCAGTAGACCTTACACCAGCTCTGTTCACACCATCTTACACTTAATAGGTCCCTAAATCAAGTCTCTCCCCCAGCATCCCCCACCTTGGGTAACTGCGACCACGCACCACACAGTTGCTTGCACCAGAAGCTTAAGGTCTCCTTGACACGCTGTCTCCTCTACCCTCATATCCAGTCCATGTCGTTTCTGCCCCCAAATCCCTTCTTGAATCTCCCCACTTTCTACCACCTCCACTTCTCTTAACCCATCATCAGCTCTTATCACGACTCCAACAATAACTTCCCAGTGCTCTCTCCTTCATTTATTTATTTATTTATTTATTTATTTGATAGAGAGGGAGCACACAAGCAGGGGGAGGGGCAGAAGGAGAGGGAGAAGCAGGCTCCCCACTGACCAGGGAGCCTGAAATGGGGCTTCATCCTAGGACCCTGGGATCGTAACCCGAGCCGAAGGCGGATGCTTAACCAAATGAGCCACCCAGGCAACCCCACCGGCCTTCTTAAGATGTTCCGATCTTGTCAGTCCTCTGCTATTCAATGACTTCTCTTCATTTCCTTGATGAAGTTCAAACTTTTGAGCATGGCTCCAAGGCCCTGCGTCATCTGGCTGCAGCCTGATCTTGAACCACTTTGGCTGAACAGGCTCCAGCCCCACGTAGACCTTCTCCCTAATCCTTGATCACAGGGTACTTTGTGCTTCATGAACTCCAGGGTGTGGTTCCCTTTGCCTCGGTCGTTTTTCTCCACTTCTCCTTTATTCACCTGACTGAATATTTGATCTTTAAGGAGACATTTCTTAACCTCTGCTCACCCCAGTCCAGCATGGCCATATATTCCAGGAGGGCAAGGACGTCGTCGCTGCAAACCACTCCCACCTAGCACAGTATCTGGCATATGCAGAGGCCCACCGAACACTGTTGCATTAATAAATAAAACCCATGTAGATACCTGGCCCAAGACTGTCCCTTCCATTGGGCAGCCATTCCTCTTGCCTAGCTCCAACCCCGACCCCCAATGCCATCAACCCTCCCCTCGT